TGGGGGTGTGCCAGTAGCTGCTCTCTCCTGAGGCTTTTGTCCAACACTGAGAGCAAAAGTTCAAGGAGACGATATGAGAAGATTCTAGCGCACCAAGGGCAAGGTCGCCTGAGTCAGCGATGTCCCAGGTGCTTACGAGGTCTCTCTTGTCTACCAAAATATCCACCTGCAGTCCTTGCCTCAGCTCTTTATCGCCCACAAGGCAGCAGGCCCCGCGTGGAGCGCAAGTGGAGGCTTTTGCTTTGTGGGAAGGTCAGTTGTCCAGCTTTTGGAAGAAATGAGAGAAGGCTCTTTCTTACTCTCTCCCGGCTGGTGAGATTCAGAACCCTCAAGCGGTCACCCCTGCGGGGGACAGCAGCTCTGGTGGTGGCATGCGCAACTGGGAGGGACCCTGACATCACTGCCTTGAGCTGCACTTTGCATTCTTACCAAACACAGCTTCTTTGCTCATTTCGTTTTCCATTTGTTGGCAGAGCATCCCCATGGGGTAATATCAAGTGCTGTAATCTTCAGAAGTCTCTATTTCCTAGGTAAGGAAAGAGGCTTCAGGATGATTTTCAGTTGACATTGTGGAATGCTTGTAACCTTTCTGTTGGCCCAAGCCGTCTGCCTCTTGGCCCTGGGTCTTGATTGCTCTTGATCTTCAGCTCCCCCTAGTTGATGCTTCAGCAGATTCATGCCTTATCCCAGCATGTTAGAACCCAGGGAGGCACTCAGCCTACTTAGGCCCCTGGAATATGAAATGGGTAAACTGCAACTCAGGCAGGTGCCTAGAGGGGGGCGAGAGCCCTGCTGACAGCAGAACCGGAAGAGCCACAGGCCCTCCTTCGGGGGGTCGGGTGCTTTATCCACAGACCTTCAGGGCAGCTCTCTGTGCTCCCCACAGTCGACAGTATTCGCACAGTGTGCGTGTGTGTGTTACACCCAGCAGGACATCCGAGGCCTGTCTGCAGGGATGCCCCTCTCAGTGGACTACAAGCTTTCTATGGGTGAAGAGACACAGCTACTATTTGCATTGCTTTTGCTTTTCATTACCATCTACTGAGCATTTAAAACATATGCAAATATGTGCCTTTTAAAATGAATACCAACTCTCCAAGTGATAGCACTTTTTGATAAACTTTCCTGAAAAGTGGAGGAAACACTTTATAGCTCATTCTATGAGACCAATATTATTGCCCCGATGGCAAAACCAGACAAAAACATCACAAGAGAGAAGCCCAAACCATAGATCAAAATCCATTATGAGTATAAACCCAAACACTTACTTATAATTCATAGCTCATGGTAAATGAATGGTTTCCTGATAAGATCAGAACACGACAGGAATATCTTTTTCTTGCTCTCTGTTTCTATTCCACATTGTGTTAGAGGCTCTAGGCAGAGAGAGTAGGCAAGAAAAAGAAATAAAGGGAACCCATATTGGGAAGAAGAAGCAAAATTATTTTTATTTGCAGATTACATAATCTTATACATAGAAAAATCCTAAAAATCTGTAAGACTATTAGAACTAAAAACCTTTATACGTATACAAAGCAATTGTATTTCTGTACACTAACAATGAACATATAACAAAGCTGTAGAGAATAACACTATGATAGAATGACAGTAGTCATTGTCAAGGGGGGAACACAGGGGCCACCTGTTACAGGCAGAGGAAGGAGGCGGGGCCTGGTGTCCCCTCTCTCCCCTGCCCTCCCTAGACGGAGGCTACTGTTGGTGAGCCTTGTCCCAAAGTCAGAAAGCAGTGCTCCGAGTTTCGTCTAAGGTCTACCTCTTGCCCTATAACCACGTCCACCACTCACCCTCAGTGCGGGCCTGAAGCCTGGCCATAGAAGGATTGGAGTCAACTGGGACCTCTAGGCTCCTGGGATCCTGCACTGCCCTCAGAGAGTGCCGTGACATCATGGGGAGGCCAGTGAGTGCACCTGAAGGTGCTTTTTGAACAAGCGGCCCTGCGCCTTCCTTAGCACCAGAGCCCCACAACGTGTGCAACCAGCCTGAGTCTCACTGCTACTCCTGGTGCCAGGCCAGCGGCATGAACATCACCTGGGGACTTACAGCAAGCACAGAACCTAGGCCAGTCCGAGCACTCCTAATTCACAGCCGGCGTTTCAACAAAATCCCCGGGTGATGCCCGACACAGTCTGAGAGCCCGTGACCCACAGGGGACATCTGTGATTCCATTCTCTGTTGTTTTGACCATAAAGTATATCATGCTTTTCTTTGACATAAAGCAACTGCTGCTCTGGGGTGGGGAGAACAGAACACAGTAGCTGATAAGAAAAAGGAATTGCTCTGGGCCCCCAAGCGTTGCCAACACAGTGGTTTGAGCTTTCCTCTGCTCTCTTCCCTTTGAGCTCCAGGCTTAACAATCTTTCCCAGCAGTGCAGAGAGCCTTTCCTGAGCTGAACAGCAGAGGCAGGGGGTGGAGGGGTGCAGCTTAAAATAAACTACAGCTCTCCTGGAAATTGCACTGACCTTTATTTGCATAAGCCTGCAGGACTCACTAGCTCCTGGAAGAGATGGGAAAGCAGCACCCACCTTTCTCTCCTGGCAGCACTGATTTCTTTAGCTCCATTGGGGATTGCTGGACGCGGTGTGATTGCTGCTGTCTTAGTAAAATGCAGCCAGCGTGCACGGGACCTGCATCCCTGTGCTTTCCTTCTCAGCTCCCCAGCACTTCCTGGGCCGATGCTGGGGCAGGGGCGGCGGGAGCTCTCCAAAGCAGTGAGACCCCAGGCATGTTTTACTTCCCAAGTTTGCGGGGGCGTGGGGAAAGCAGCCACAATCCATTCCTGGTTCCTGTATTTTGGACAGGGAGGCCTTACTGGTGATGTACCAGGAAGAACACCTTGCTTGTTTAACCAGTTGCAATACGCCCATTCCCAAGTTCATTCTTATCAACCCAGTCATCCAGGGAATCCAGCCTGGGAAAAGCACTTTTTGATAAAGAGACGAATGACCTGGAGAAGGTGCATCTCAGCGACAGAGCACGAGGTGTGACGCGAGAGGCCTGCTGTGGGCGTGCGAAAGGAGAGGGGTGCCAGAAGCACCAGAATCCGCACCTCAGCTTTCATATCAGTTAGCACACACACAGCACCAAAAGTGTACTGTATGTAGGTGACACGGACGGGCTGAGCTGGACTACCATTTACAACCCTTCTCTGCGTTCCTGGAGGGTTAAGTTTATAATTAGAAAACATGCTGAAATTGTATCATTGTAAAAATTAAGAGAAAAACAAAAGAAAGGTGGGAACAGAGGTGATGGGGAGGAAAGAGTGGGAAGTTTCATGATCTAAGTCTATGTATGTGAAATACATGAAATGTAATTAAGATATAACAGGGGGAAAGCTTTGCTAATACATAAACTGGGGATTTGTGCTAGCTTCCTTAGTTGGTGTGTGGGTCACCCACCACCTGCTGCATGATATCTGTTATGTCACAGTGTGGTCTCAGCTCGAGTTCTTCTCTGACACAGCCACTACATGGAGAGACCCCAGAGAAGGGAGAAACCCCTCAGGAGAACAGAGGACACGGGGAGGCCTTTGACCCCGGTCCAGGGAGACCGGGCAGCCCCAAAGCCGAGCCGTGGACAAGCTCTGTGGGTCACTCTGGGCCAGTGGACCAGCTGCACTTCTTTCATTTTATTTTTTTTTTAAAGATTCATTTATTCTTATTGGAAAGGCAGATCAGATTTCCAGAGAGAATGAGAGACAGAGAGAATGATCTTCTGTCTGCTGGTTCACTCCCCATGTGGCTGCAATGGCAGGCACTGAGCTGAGCTGATCCAAAGCCAGGAGCCAGGAGCTTCCTCCAGGTCTCCCACATGGGTGCAGGGTCCCATGGCTTTGGGTCATTGTCTACTGCTTTACCAGGCCATAAGCCGGAAACTGGGAAGTGGAGCAGCTGGAACATGAACCGGTAGCCATTTGGGATCCTGGCGTTGGAAGGTGAGGATTTAGCCATTGAGTTATCGCACCAGGCCCTGTTTATTTAATTAAAATTTGTATGTTAAAATTTTTGGATCAATATAACCTGTAATTTTTTTATTAAACATATTTTGTAATTAATTTATTTGTAAGGCAGAACCATAGAAAGATAAACAGATCTTTCTTTCACTGATTCACTCCCCCAAATACCCACTGCGGCAGGGGATTAGAAAAGCTGGGAGCTTGGGGTTCCATCTGGGTCTCGTATGAGGATGGCAGGGACCCCAATGCTTGAGGCCTTTCCTGCTGCTTCCTCTCATGCGTCGGCAGCAGGCTGGGCCTGAGCACCTCTGAAGGGTGTGCGTCTGGGGTGTGCACTGCTGGGCTGTTCTTGGTGGGTAACGGTACGACTTCTCCTTGCATTCTGGCATGTTGGGTCAGAGACTCCAGCGTGTCTCGCAAGAAAAGGCTGCTGTCAGCAGATTTTATAATGTCACAGCTTTCTTTGGCAACTCTCTTGACCGCTGAACCTGTCTTTGGCCTTCTGCTCAGTTCTGCTGGAATTCAAGCTTGTGTCTGATTTCCCTCACTGGTCAGCACTTTTTCTAAACCCTCTGCAGAAAAGCAAACTTTCCTGGGATGACGTTCAACTATGCAGCAGGATAAGGCTGTTTGAAAAAGTTCTCAGTATCTGAACAAACAGCCACACTTGCTGCAAGGGGCTGGCCGAAGGCTGCCCAAGAATGTCTCCTTTGCTACAGACACAGCTTCTGGATGTGGCCAGTGCTGTGAGCCGACCTTTTTCAATAACAGCGTTCTGTTTAAACAATCCTTTTTTGAGAGAGGCTTAGTCCTAGAATTCTTCCTGCCTATTAAATCTGTAAATAATCTTATCATCTGGAATAAATCTCCTTAATGAGCATGTTGTAATTGAATTCCTGACCAATTAATACAGCATTACCTTGTCACAAAGGTGGATTGGCTTCTGCTTTCCGATTGCCCTTGGACGTCGCCTGGAGGTTGCAGGAATGCTGATGAATTCAATAAGCGCTGTGCATTGCTTTTCAGGCACAAGGACCATCGTCAGCACAGCAGCAGACACGTACCCAGGACCCACAGTGTTCAACAGTGCCATGGCCAGGACCAAGATGCAGCACATGAGACAGTAAGTGTCCTGCTGTCTGTGTGAGGGAGAGTGTGGCCTCACAACACACTGGCTGGGCACGTGACGTCGCCGTGTCATGCTTACTGATGTCTATTGGTGCTGCTGTAGCAAAATGGCCGTGCAAAAAGCATGCATGGGTTTCTTACCGGGAAGTACCGGCTCAGTGTGCGGGTGTGGCTTCCTGTGCTCACAAGACTGCGCCTTCCTGTTCCTGCGGCCTCACGAAGCGGAAGCTGAAAGCAGCATAGGCTGAAAAGTGAGAGAAGCCTCAGTTACAAGATTTATTTATTTTTATTGGAAAATCAGATTACAGAGAAAAGGAGAGACAGAAAGGAAGATTCTCTGTCGCTGATTCACTCCCCAAGCAGCCGCAATGGCCAGAGCTGAGCCAATCCGAAGGCAGGTGCTTCTTCCAAGTCTCCCACCTGGGTACAGGGTCCCAAGGCTTTGGGTTGTCCTCTGCTGCTTTCCCAGGCCACAGGCAGGGAGCTGGATGGGAAGCAAGGTCACCGGAATTAGAACTGGTGTCCATTTGGGATGCTGGCACGTGTAAGGAGAGCACTTTAGCTGCTAGACTACTGTGCCGGAATCTGGTTTTTGTTTGTTTGTTGTTTGTTTGCTTTTGTGTGTTTTAATTCTTAAGTTGGCAAGGCTGAGGATGTTCCAAATCTCTAAGGTCTACTTCCCTTTTGATGATAAAATCTATTGTTAATTTGTTTTTCATTACACATTTTACTGTACACATCTTCAACATCTTTTTAAAGAAAGATTTATTTTACTTATAACAGCAGGAGTGACAGTGAAAGACAGATAGAGATCCACCTCGTGTTGGTTCATCCCCAAAATGACTACGTCCGTCAGGGCCAGGCCAGGCTGAGCCAGGCTGAAGCCGGGAGCGTGGAGCCTGCTCCTGCTTTCCCAGGCATACCCCTCAATGGTCCGACCTTGACCCACTCCCCAATTCCAAAGTCACATACACATTGTATTTTGTTAGTAAGCCCCACTCTTCAGTGCCAATTTCTGTGTGAGTTTATTTTGTGCCACTCTTTCAAAATATCTGCAACTAATCAATACATTGTTACCGTTGTAGTGTGAATGTATCAATCACAGTGAAGGCTGCTGGGAAGGCCAACGACAGCGCCCTGGCAGACTAGGCAGACTCCTCATGGCTTCCCCTCTTCCTAAAAGGTCCTGCTTCTGAATGGTGGTGCCCTGGGGATTAGGTTTCTGCATGTATTTGGGGGCAGACACAATCATTCATAGTTGAACTAATGCAGTTGTACTTTGTACAACTTTGTGCAAAGTAGTACTTTGTACTAATCCAAGCTGTACTTTGCTGCATACAGTTGTGAATGGGGCAGGAAAAAGCCCAGTTGGAAAGGCCCATGTCTCCATCGGAGATGCTTGTTACGGAATGCTTGGGAAGGAAGAGGTGCCCAGTCTCGCATTCTACCCTTGTCTCAGAGATTGGCAAGCTTGCCCTAGAAAGGGCTGAAGAGAAAATAGTTTAGTCTCGGTTGGCCATACAATTTCTGTCCAATTAGTTCAACTCTGCAATTGTTACACTAAGGCAGCAACAAGCAAAATGTAACTGGATATGGTTGGCTTTACGTTAATAAAACATTTGGTGCATGAAATTTGAATCATATATTACTTTTCAAGTATCACAAATGTTGCTCTTTGATGTATTTTTAACCACTTAAAAATATGAGAACAAAAAATAATGTAAGAGCAATTCTTGGTTTGCAGGATGTACAAAGGCAGGTAGTGGAGCAGACTGTGGCCTGTATGGTCTGCTGACCCTTATCATGAATGTTCCAACTAGGAAACTTCTAAAATCTATTTCCTAAACTGTTGGCAGCTGAATAGTTAATGAAGCTTGGCAAAAAAAAAAATTTCGGTTGATTTGCATTTATATTATTCTCCAAAACAATGTATCACCATCCATCCAATAAAGGAAAAAAGTGCTGAAAGTGATTTTCAAGCCTAAAGCTGCTAAGATGTGTCGATGCTTTTGGTTTTCAGGTCCTGCCTATACCAGGGTGGCCACACAGTTGCATGGTTACCATAGCAACAAGCGATTACCAGGAATGGGAAGGGAAGCATTCTTGATTAGTCTTTCCTTCCTCTACCTCCTCTTCATCTTCCTGGGCAGAGATAATGTGGAAAGCTTTGCTAATCTCCTAATTGATCATCTTTAAAGAGAACAGGAATAGCTTGCTCTTCCCTTAAATGTTCATTATGTGGTGTCAGATTTTTTTTTATTTCAGATTTCATTGTTTTTGCAAAGGACGTAATAGTTCACTTCTGAACATAGTTTGAAATGCTCTAAATAATTGAAATAAACATGGCTTTGTCAAAATAACTGGCCGAGAAGCATTCTAGTTCTTTTGTTCCTAGCGTGTTGTTTCTTCCTCACTGCCTGTCTGCGTTTGCCGGGGTTTCCTCCGACTCCCGCTTGAGATGTGCATCAGTGTCGTTTGGGCTTTTGCCCCAGGAGTGTCTCCAGCAGAATCAGCTGTGGATCCCCTAATATTCCAAGTCGCAAATCTCTAGCCAGTTCCAGAAGGGACTAACGGGAAATTGGGCAGCTGCAGAGCTGTGTGTCTTTTGAGTATGTCATGTTTTGTTTCTAAGACGTGGGACATAGCCTGGGAGGAGGGATCTTGCTGTACAGGGAGGCGTTGCGTCAAGGAGAGGACAGCTACTGGGAAGCAAAAAAAAGGACAGTGAAGGACACTTCTCCCCGGGGAGTTGATGGTTTAGAGAAAGCACCAAACTTCAAATGTAAGATGTTTAAAAGACATCACAATATTGCGTTATGTGAGGTGATGGTGGTTAAGGGACCTAGTCAAGGACTGTGAGCGGCCATGTGCCTAGCAGAACAGATGCTCAGTGAAATAAGATCAGCCAGGGGAAGTTGGGAGCCGCTGGGAGTGCTGTGACCTTGGCCGTGGTGTCCACATAGGCAAAGGATCTGGGTAGCTGAAGGGGAAGAAGGAGGCACTGGACCGAGGAGGACCTGGTTCCTGGGTCGTGGCTTCATCAATACATCAGCGACTTTCTGATCAGTTTCCTTGCAGAAGCATAGTTGTGTGGTTGCTGCAGCCAGGTCTTGGGAAGCAGTCTCAGAGATGAGGCTTCGTGTGTTGCAATAAGCGCTTGAGAATGTTCTTGAATGCTCTTGAGACCAACACCTGTAGAAAGAGGAGGGTAGAAAGCGGACTGGCAGAAGCAGCAGTCAGCTCAAATTCAGCCTTGGTGGAGGCCTCAGCTAACACTATAGTGAGCTCTGAAGCTTCCTGGCCCTGAGTTGGGACCAAAGCGACAGGTTTTCTAACCTCTCTTCTGTCAGATGTTGCATACGGGCCTTCCGAAGAGGGGCTGTGACTAAGCTAGGCAGTTTCCTCAGCCCCAGCGATACTCAAAGGGGCTAACACTTCAAGGCAGCCCTCCAGTGGCACCCCAAGAACTGGGTGATTTCCATTAGGTCTGCCCTGATGAGTGACACAACGCATTTAAAAATAAGTACCAAAAGCACTGTTAAGGAAAAAAAGAAATTAGGGGCCCGGTGTGTAAGCCTAGTGGCTAAAGTCCTTGTCTTGCACGTGTTGGGACCCCACATGGGTGCTGATTTGTGTCCCAGCAGCCCGGAACAAGCTCCAAGCTCCTGGCTTCAGATCAGCTCAGTTCTGGCCTTTGCAGCCACTTGGGGAGTGAAGCAGCAGATGGAAGATCTTTGTCTCTCCTCCTTTCTGTATTCTGTATATCTGACTTTCCAACAAAAATAAATAAAATTTTTTTTAAAAATGGACGGCCTAGCAGCGTTTTTTTTTTTTTAAGGTTTATTTATCTTCGAACTTGAGAGGCAGAATGACAGTGAATGAACTCTTCCATCCGTTAATTTACTCATCAAATGGCCATGGCAATGAAATGTGGGGTGGGCAGAAACCAGGAGCCAAAAACTCCATTCTGCTCTCCCACATGGCAGCAAATTGCTTGGACCATCTTCTGCTGCCTTCCCTGGAGTATGAGAAGGAGGCTGGATTGGAAGTGGAGTGGCCAGGACTGCAGCTGACACTCCAGGTCGGAATGTGGGAACCCCATGCTGCAGCATTCCCAGATAGCACTTCTCCGTCATGGCCATCCAGAGCGAAGAGACAAGCAATGAGTATGCTTCGGGTGAGAGGAGATTACAGCAGATTGTGTCCATTTTAAAAAAAGTGCTTTGAAAAATGTCAAGCCTGTAGAAAAGATAAAAATTAATCCAGTGAGCACCTATGTATCTTTCACCTAGACTCACTGAGTTAATATTTGGTAGCATTTGTACAAGTAGATATATTTACATATAGTACTTATAAATTGTTACTGAGTTATTTAGATTTCACGTATCATGATTCTTTAAATATGTAGCCCCCCCAAACCAAGAATATTTCCTTATATGACCGAAGTACAATGATTACACTTAGAAACTTTGACATTAGTATAGTATTTACTTTTATTTAACACAGGAATTCATATTCAACATATTAGGGTTTCATCTGTTGCTCCAACAACAATATCCATTGTGGCAATTGTCTTTCTGTTCCAGAATATGAGCAGCAACCACACATTGTACTTAGTTAAGTCTCCTGGGTCTCATTTGTTCTAGAAGAGTCCCTGAGTCATCCTTTGTTTTTGCTTTGTTTTGCCACATTGGCGTTTTTGATGGTTACAGGAATATTGTTTTAAGGCGTCTTGCCTTTTGGATTCTCTGGGGTCTTCTCGTTTATTAGATTCGGGTTCTACATTTTTTATGCTCTCCTACATAAGCAATATTGTGTGCCCTTCTGCATTTTAAATCTTTAACTTGGGGATGTTGCAGACATATGTGGAAGTATTTTTAGAAGTTGAATGAACTCCAGGGACTCATCCACCAAACCAGCTCCACGATCATCGTCTTACATCTGGCTCGGCTCTCCTGCCCTCCTACCTGTTCCCCCACGTTAACTTTAAGAAAC